TAATGAATATATTATGACTAATATGAGCAAATTGCAAAAATATTCAATAATTATATCAAAGTAGGTACCAACACAATGTTTGCTTGGTGAATATAAATATTTTATGAGAATATATGTTGGAGATAAATTGACATGTATTATGACAAAACAAATCTCATAATACACGTCATGATTATAATCAATATTTTTTATGATTTTGAACCAATTACAAAGTTTGATATAATAAAAGATTGATATATAAGACTTATTAATATATATATATATATATATATAAACTAATGATCTAAAGTTGCAAGGTGACAATTTTGTGATTATTGAGAAGTCTCGTGGCAATTTTATGATTATGAATGTTCATATAGTAGATCTAATCAAAAGGTTGAGAATTGGTCTTACGGGTCTCACGAAAAACCCTTGGTCTCACATGATCCCAAGTCTACAAAGAACAATCAATAATGATAATGTGGATTCATATATCAAAGTAATTATTGATTATTATTAATTTAATAAACGTGATTATCGACTCAATTAGCTAACTTAAATAATTAAAAAAAATTATTGTCTTCACGCATCGCCCGATGTCAAATACTAGTTCACTTATAATCACTCTTCATTTCTTGCAGGAGGTATCGTCATATTGACGTTTTGAGCAATATGTATTTTAATGTATTTTTTACACGTGATTTTACTTTCCAATCTATTCAATATTACTTTCAGGTTTTATTTTCCAAATTACAAGTTGCTAAAAAATTAACCACTAATGCTTAGTTAAATCAAAGTGTAATAAAATGAAATCACTTAATATATGAGAACCTCAAGATCCGATCCATTATTAGCCAATAATTTGATATACTCGATTTCTAATTTATTTTATGCTATTATATATTAGACTTGAATTTATATGCCACATAAAAATGAATAAACTAGCATCACCATGATAGAAAATATAAAAAACATGAAACACGAGTTACTTTTTAATTTATCCGTCTTCAAACTTGATAATTTGTGGATCTTGTTGCATTGCAACGAGTATACTACTAGTTATATATATATACACATATATATATATATATACATACATATACATATACATATACAAGGTTGGGTTCATGTGATACCAAATGTTTTTCGTGAGACCCGTTAGACCAATTTATGTTCATTGATCAACTTTATAAGCTAATGATCTAATGGTCTAAAGTTACACGATGACAATTTTGTGATTATTGAGAAGTCTCGTGGTAATTTTGTGATTATGAATGTTCAGATTTTAGATTAATCAAAGGGTTGAGAATTGGTTTTACGGGTCTCACGAAAAACCCTTGGTCTCACATGATCCCAAGTCTACATATACATACATATATACATATACATACATATATACATATACATACATATATACATATATATATATATATATAAGGGTCCATTCAAGGGAGAACTTATTATTTTGTGGTAACTGTGAGGTCCAATCTTAACCACAAATCAACGGATAAATAAAAAATTAGTAATTATGGTAGTTTGAGTTAAAATTATAATTAGAGGACATTTTAGGTATTTTTAAAAAACTCCTATCTCCTCTCTTTGACCTCCAACCTCCGGCCTCCGGCCAACATTATTCCGACAGGTACCAAGTAATCACAAAGATACACAATGTGATACCCATTGTGATATACTGTGATACCATTGTGAAACCAACTATGATACCAACTCAAACCATAAAAACAAAATCAAATCCATTGTGATACACCTTGATAAAACAAGGAAAATAATGAAATTGCATATTGCGATACACTGTGATACACTGTGATAGCTTATTATTTCAGCCAACTAGGGAATAGGGATAGAGAGAGATTGAAGAAGAGCAACAGTGAGTGAGAGTGGGAAGGAGCATACAAGTCTCAGAAAGTGATCAATGGATCCATACACTTTGTCGAAAGCATTCTTAGAGCTTTACTACACCACCTTTGATACCAATCGGGCTGGCTTAGCTAATCTCTACCAAGAGACTTCCATGTTGACTTTTGAAGGTCAGAAGATCGAAGGCTCTCAGAATATCGTCAACAAGCTCACATCTCTCCCTTTTCAGCAATGCAAACATAGCATCACCACCGTCGATTGCCAGCCTTCCGGACCTGTCGACAGTATGCTCATTTTTGTCGGCGGCAATCTCCAACTAGCCGGGGAACAACATGCTCTTAAGTTCATTTAGGTATGCTCGATTAGCGCCGCCAACGACGAGACTTAGAGCTCGTCGGCTGGCTTGATGAAGAAGAAGAAGCATCAATGGCAAGAGTGGTTGTAGCAGAAAAAGAGGGTTAGTCGATGAAGGAAGGAAGAAAAATAGGGTTAGGGTTTTATGATTATAAACATTACCAATTTACCCTTTATGTTATTTTAGGATATAACATTAATTATTTAAATGATTGGCTCACATTGGACCTCACAGTTACCACAAACTAATCAGTTCTCATTTGATTATGCCCCTATATATATTATACACATATATATATATATATACAAATATATGTATATACACATATATATGTATATATACATACACACATATAGGGGAGCGTTCAAATAAAAACTACTCAATTTGTAAAAACCGTGAAAACCTCATTCAGCCAATCATAATTTTTCATTTTGTTCATTTTTTTTGTAATTTTGAAAGGTTGATTAACCATTTTTATTGTGGAGGATGTTAATCATGGATATTATCATCTTTATTATTTTAATCTTAGAAAAATACATGAAACAGTTTCATTAAAATTTTCATTAAATATTCTATGAAACAATTTCATAACCATATATGAAACAAATTCATCAAAAAAAGTATTATATGAAACAATTTCACAAGATTAAACAATTTCATGAAAAAAATTCTTAAGATTAAACAATAAAATCGACGTATGAGGGTGGTTTTTACGGTTTTTACAAATGATGGTGGTTTTCATTTGATCGCTCCTCCACACATATATATACACATATACATATGTATATATATACATATACATATATATATTGAGAGAGACGGGTTACGTTGCAAACCTCTCAATTCATGAAAACCTTGCAAATCACTTTCGACCAATAGGAAAATTTCATTTTTTTTCTTTAATTTTAATCAGTAAAGGTGTAATACTCATTTCATTGTATATTGATTAATATTGGAGGTAAAAAATACTGTTAATTTTGGAAACGTAATAAAGGAAACGTTTCATATAGAAGGAGGTAAATTCTTTCTTCTTAATATAAATGTTTTACCATTAATATGTTTTATTATTATTTACCATTATATTTTATAAAAATATGAATTTTAGAAGCAGTAGAATATGAAATCTGTGTTCTGTTTCATTGAAAAAATATATGTACATTGAGTAATGAAACTAATTTCATGTTCAATAATGACCAACAAACAATTTCACAATATTTCGGAACTTTTTATGCATGAAAAACATTCATTAAATAAAAAAATATTCAGTTTTTCAAATGTCTCATTAAATTTTTAAAAATGTTTCATCGTTCAACACTATATGACAATTGGTCTTTCTTTAATGGCAGTCATGTGAGTTCGTTCTATAAACGGTGAAACAGTTTCGTTCATTGATTTAATGATACAAAATATTTGCTTTCATATTCAAAGTGTTTCATTATTTTTAGTTGATTATAGTATGTTTTATATTTCATAATTTATTAGGATATACCTAACTCATTGTAGGTGACAAGGAGTCACCTGAGTTCGGTAGATGAAACGGTGAAATGGTTGTACCTTGTGCTTAAAGTCTTGTACTTAAGACTTTGTCTTAAATGCTTATTTATGTAGTATATATATATATATATATATATATGTATGTATGTATGTATGTATGTATGTATGCATATATGTATGTATGTATTACAAGGAGTTGTTAAGATGATGTTACACAACCCAAAATGATATAAAAGTAACCCAAAATGATATAAAAAGTAAATTGTCATATAATAATGTCATATCAGTCTTTCGTATGCAGGAACTTTTTAAAGGGTCATAATAAAAACATTGATGAGGTGATTTACCTTTTGCATTTTATTAGGTTACTCAATTTTATAATAGAACTTGTCAATTCGTCTAATTTCGTTATAGCAACTTAATGTAATGAATTTAGATAAGGTTAGATGAGTACTCGCATAATGTAGCGAGATATATCTTGATTTTAATGTTTCGTTTTATATTTTGGATCTATCAATATTATGATGTTATGTGGTTCTGAGAAAAAGAATTTATTTTTCATTGAAATATAAATTTGAAGATATCATAAAAAAAAATTTTAAAAAATAAGTGATATTAATATTAAATTAACTATTTAAAAGT